TCTAATATTTGGCAGAAGATGAGTGTACGTATGACAACAAAGAGAACATGTAGAGCATTTTAAAGAAACGACCTAGGAAAAAGATCCTGTAATTTTTGTTTCCGATTTTTGGAATCTTCCAACCATATTGTGTTGTTGCAGTTTTCGTTCAAACTGAAGATGCTTTTTTGTAGCTAGCATTTGTTTTGCGTAGATATATATATAGACCATACTACTAATGGTATATTCAAGTGGACGTTCACATGTAAATGGATTATCGCGACCTTATTGGCTGGTCTTCCTAGGTTGCTGTGGTAGCACACTCTGTGTCTCTCTCTTTTTTTTTTTTTTTTTTTTAATCTGAGAACAAAACCCTTCAACCGTTTTTATGGGTATAGATAGATTTTAAAACCCATAGTTTCAAACCTTCAACGCTATTAAAATCGAGAAAACACGCATAAGTTTTATGTAGGCCACAAAAATACATGAGAAACAAGATTCGAACATTAAGCTTCAAGTTAGATTTGACTGCACGCTCTTTGTCATTTAACTTGTATCACATCAAAACTCAAGTAATTGGTTTTATGATTAAAGAAGCATTTTTTATTTATTGAGTAAAGTCGAATCTTGAAATCAGCATTTCAAAAAAATTATTAAATTTATCTCAATGCATGAAATTGAAGTAGAATTTATCTTTAAGATTGTTTCAAAAAAAAAAATTGATTGACATATAAATTAGGTAGAGATTATCATTCATCGTCAGATAAAAAAAACAATATATATAGCATTAATACATCAAAAATCAAATATTACAAAATACACTCCGAAGAATCTTTCTTCGAGAAAGTTACAGATTATGCTTTTATTATTTTTTAAGGAAAATTGCGCAACCGATTAGACTTGGTTTATAAACATCACATATTTAGGTAAATTTTAGACCATTCAAGATTTGAACCCAAAGATGTTTCTCTATCATTAAACCAAATGGTTTATGGCCATTTTCGGAAATAAAAAATCGTAGTGAATGAAACATGAACATGAGAATCCTGTGAGCGGATATTTGTATGTAGCTTAAAAAACTCATTTTTTTCAGGTAGAGACATTTCAGAAAGAAATGCAAGCTGCTACCTGTTATTTTGGGTTCACGTTAAAAATGTGACAGCTCCTGCACGTGGGCCAGCTTAAGTGCTGTTGTGCAGATCGGTGTTTGGACATAGTACATATCTCACCTCTAATCGGTCACATCAACGGCGAAGTTTTCTTTTAACAAATATGCATTATTTTTTATGTTTGCTAACTATCGAAAATACTGGAATCCAACTGTTTGAATATAGTGAATATAAGATTGAATTTATCAAAATTATTCACGCAGTATTTAGTTTATCAAATTATTTACGTAGAATTTTTATTGAACGGTTAATAAGGTATGTTCACTTGGTTTGGTTCGGTTGCTCATAAAACAACATATGACAACAAATCAAGTTTACAACTAAAAAAGAAAAAAAAGCCATCGAGAAAAGGGGTTTTTGAGATCGCAAATTGGGAATTAGATTCCGCATGGTCAATCATCTCGACAATTGAAAAATGATTCGCACAAAACATGAAAAAAACAAAATTGTCCCTCGATATAGGCTTATATAAATGATGGATCCCAAATCATTTTCAGAATCAGAATGTCGTTTTCCAGGAAAAGATGTCTTATTGAATCAAAAAAGGACTTTTTGTGCTGGGTTTTCTGAGTTGTCGTGCCTTGTTGATTTAATCCAGTAGTCATTCATAATATAGACATTCCCATGTGCTATTCCAGCTAAAGTCAGTTTTCATTGTTGATTGACAAATTCTGTGGTTACTAACACATGTATTCCGTCCAAAATTTTGAGGTGATCGAGACTGTACGTAGACCACTAAAACCAATTTTTATGCATTGCATTTGCATAGGACATGAGTTGCATTACGTTGATCATTGACCAATTTATGCTAATAAAATCAGTTTTCGTTACTCCGTTGAACCTACAGATTTTCTTTCATCCAAATTTATTCGTTTGCATGAAAAAAAGATGTAAAAATTATCAGTCTTCGTTACTCCATTGAACCTACAGATTTTCTCTCATCCAAATTTATTGGTTTGCATGAAAAAACGATGTAAAAATTAAGGCATCTCAGCTGATGGTTTACATGCTTAGGTTATGCGTATCTCGATCCGCCCTTCTGTTCGAGCCTTACTCGTGTGAAAGAAAAGGAGCCTGGTTGTATTGGGCCTTTTTAAGCTATTGGGTAAGAGCTATAGCAAGTGAGCCCATATGTAACTGTGCAAAAACATATTGTACGGAGAAGAATGATCATTTCCTCCCCTGGCCTAGTGTTGGGGTTGCGGTTACGGTTACGGTTACGGTTACGGTTGTTTATTTCGTTAATTTTTTTTATAGAATAAATTTTAATTTTAATTGATTTAATTATTATATAAAAGAGGTTAACTATTTCTATTATTTAACCTAATACTTAAAAGTCATCCCAAAAAAAGAAAAAAAAACAGAAAACAATCGTTTGAAAAAGAGTAAGTTATTATTTAATCCCTATATTTTAGTAAAACGATTACTCAATGCCTTTGGTTTTAAAAACCCAATATTGAGTCCATTTAGGTTTATATTTATAACTTAGTTCTTCTATTGGTTTTTCATGACAATTAATTTTTTAAAAAAATATCTTTAATTCTAATTAAAATTTTCAAACTCGCCTGCTACAGAAAATATTAAAAATGCACTCAAGAAAGCAATTTAGGAACTTCAAAAGGAATTAACAGCCAACTTTGATCAAGGGACTAATTTACAATATCGTACAAAACACAGGGACTAAAGTATAATTACTCTTTGAAAAATGAGAATTGTGCATTCGGGAACTTTGGTTCCCCGACTTTGTCCCCTAGTAAAGAACTTGAATGGATGGACTGTGATCGAATGCATATGAAAGTTTGATATGCTCAATTTTTCTCATATTGAGCTTTAATCAAGTCTATGCTTGGTAATCTTTGGTATTTATCTTGCCGTATCAAGCTAAGATTAATTCATTCATAAACTAATCAACGAAGCGATGAACAAGAAAAGAACTGACGTTAACACCTGTTGAATTACTTAATCTAATTGCTAGCTTCTTAATAAAAAAATTAATAATTGAGAAATTTATTCTCAAAAGCGACCTGAGTAGGTGCTCACCTTTTGCATTACAAAGAAACCCAAAAAACTGAGAGAGAAAAAAAAAAAAAAAACCAACCACTTTAAAGAGATTTACAAAATTCATCTGCTGCAAAATTCAGTATTCCTGGAATCACTAATAGCTCACTGAAGCAACTTAGAATTACACAAACCTAAGTTGAACAGATAGAATAATCTGACGAATAGGATCCCAGTTGCATAAATCCTTCGATATCTCTCCTGTCATATGGTCCTATTAGGTCAAATACCTAGCAACAAACTCTAATGTTCCTTTCATTACTGTACTTCAGAATAAGTTTCTAAAATAGTAAGTCTTAAGGATTTGCTTATTAATGATAGGGATGTTTTTTTTATGTATTGTCTTTATTTTACTAAAAATAAAAATTGTACAAATGAACTGCCGACTTAGGCTCTTTCAAGACCTTTTTCCTGACCCTAAGCGTCTTAGAATAGAACCCCGAATTTTTATTTTTATATATATATATATATAGGAAGATAAATGAAGTTACAACAGGCCAGCCTCAACACCACTGACATAAAACTCTTCTTCTGCAGAAATTGTTTAGCATTACCCAAATTCAGTCACCGAAAATATTATATAATTTGCAAAATGGTCTCCCATACTTCCTACAGAGCTGGGCAAATGAAGAACAAATGACCTTTGTCCTCGTCATTTTACATAGAACGAGTAGCATCAATTACCCTGCCCATTTTAAGCTGTCTCACCTTAGTGGGTAGCCTTCTCGAAAACTATATCTGGGCAAATGCATAGGACTCCAGATTAACTTGAACCAGTCCACCCTGTTTCCCTTCCCAGAAATAATCCCAAAAACTTATGCAATTGTAGATTGAATTGCAACGATCTCATCAGACCTGGATAAAGGTCATTTCCATTTTCCAATCCCCGGTACAAATCACATCTGACACTTTTGCAATTGTAGTCAAACCTAATTCAGGAATAAGCCTTAGGACAAAGTTCCTAACCAAAAGTGCCATTGTCTCGCCATGGGAATGTACTCGCGCGACCCAATATTGTGCTTTTCTTTAATTTGATCTTTGCCAAACTCTTTTTTCTTAAGCACTGGAGGAAGCTTCAATTGCAGGATACCGTCATCTGATTTCCACGAATAATGATAGTATGCTCCAAAGTTTACTGAAGACAATCAGTTTACATATGTTTTTCTTTAATACTATATAGTTTGTAAAATCAATTCAATCTTCCAATCAATTTTGTGAACTCTTCACAGATCCTATATCAATATGCATTTCTTTTAACCTCGACTCATCACCACAAAATATGGAAGATCAACCGATCTAAATCGCACTGTGAAATCTTTTTCCTAGTTAGTAGTGAACTTGTCTGTATGGAGCATTAACTGGGATACAATAACAGTTGGCGTAATCTTCTTGCCAAAAAGAGGCTAACTAAGACTCCTAAAGCTAAACACATCAGACCTTTTCTACTCCTGAGAACTTAAAAAGCAATACACCTTCACCACATTTCAGTTGTAATAGAATAATTTTAAAACAAGGCATTTGGTAACACATGAAGTTGGAACAAAAGACAAGCGGATGCTAAGAAATTAAAGTCAAGGATTCAACAAACAGAATTCCTATTCTAAACGAAGGTACTAGTTCTAGAGGACAAACCTAGAAGTCAAACGATATGTACTTAACCAAGATGTCCAACACAAACACAAAATATAATATTAATACCAAACAAGTCTACCTTAACCTAAGCCCAAGTACGGTCACCGAATTAAACACATAATTTTCCAGCTGAAAGCAACTCGAGATCAGATGCCAACAGCTTCAGTCTTTGGTGGTTTTGTTGATGAGAGACTTATGAATGTGAGGGATGACACCACCACCAGCAATGGTTCCTTTGATGAGGGTATCCAGCTCCTCATCTCCTCTAATGGCCAGCTGCAGATGCCTAGGGGTGATTCTCTTCACTTTCAGATCCTTGCTAGCATTTCCAGCAAGCTCAAGAACCTCTGCAGTCAGATATTCAAGGATTGAAGCCAAGTAGACAGCAGCAGTGGCCCCAACTCTCCCATGGGCTGAGATCCTTTGCTTCAGATGCCGGTGGATACGACCCACAGGGAACTACACCCATTCATCCAAATATCCATCAATAAATCATAAAAGTCTTAAACAAATACTGCTATTAAAAAAAAAACGTCTTAAACAGAATACAAGCACTACTGTAACCAAAATCTACTCTATAAACCTCATACCTAAAACAAAAGTATTCTACATAAACCCTATTTTTAAAACAAGAAACCGCCATTCTTATGATAAGCTTAAGTGCGACACAAAAACCTAGATTAACACACTGAAGCTTAAAGGATCTTCAAAATCACACAAATTTCATTTCATTAGCAAGTAATACTATTTCTTGAAAAAACTCTGTTCGTATTGTTTTTTTTTTCAAAATGTGTGCAAGTAATTTACATTCATCAAATGGTGATTCTATTTAATCAGAAGAAGACCCAGTTCCTTAAAATCACAACTGTTTCAGTACAAACCAGAGAAACACAAACACTGACAATTTTTGCAAGTAACATGACAATTACAGTTCAAATATATCATCTGAAACAAATAGTAGAACAAGTAATATAATTTATCAAAAAATAATCTTCAAATTAAAGCTAAAAAATCAAACAAGTTAAAAATAATATAAAAACATATTAATTCTAATTGATTGTGAATATGTTACCTGAATGCCAGCACGAGAAGACCGAGAGACGGGTCTCTTCTTGTCCTTGTCCTTGTCTTTGTCCTTGTTAGCTGCTGCAGTTGTTTTCGTTGCCAGAAGTCCTTTTCCTCCTTTTCCAGCCATCTTCCACCTTTTCTTTTCAAATATTCAAATTCTCAAATTAATCGTAATTAACAGATCAAACAAAATACAAAGCTGGAGAAAATTTATAAAATAATGTCTCTATAAAACTGATAGCAAAATGTAGTTTGAAATTATGTATAAAATTATAGTAAAAAGAAAGGAAAACCCCATATATGAAACCAACTGACAAAGATTTGCAATTGAGGGAGAGAAAGAAAGAGATCTGGCTGGATTCTTTTAGGAAAAAAAAAACAGAAAAAAAAAACTAGAAAAATTAAATTTTAAAATAAGATCTAAGCAAACCCCAGTACGAAAACTCTTTGATATTAACTGAATTGAAAAGAATTTAAGTGAACAGGAGTGATATAAAGAAAATATGAAGGACACAGAATCCCGATTCAGAAAGAGAAAAAGAAAAAAAAAAAAAAAGTCAAGAGTTGGAGAAAGAGAGACCTGAGGAGCTTTGAATCTGGAGAGGAGAGGGGAACTGTGGAGATTGAATGAAACCGAAAGGTTAGTGTTTGGTGCTGAGAATATAATAAACTTAATAAGGAAGGTGGGAATTTGAATGTGCAAAAAATCAAAGAAGCGGCTTCTTTTGGTGGGAAACTTTCTCCAAATTTCGATTTCGAAATTTTTGGCTCTTTTTGATGTTGCTTTTTTGTGTTTTTTTTTCGTTTTACTTGCCTCTCGTGGACGAACTAATTTCTTCTGCAATTGCATTAATTACCATAGATACCCTTACTTCTGCTTACGCGTGACCCAATAAAGTCAAAGCCGTAGCAAAGCTCTCTCCTTGCTTCCCTACTTCTGCGTGAATCGCCCAGTGGACAATTATTTATATTTTTTTATATTTTATGGTAAAATGGATAAAAAGGCTGTCTCCTAACAGATGTGCTGATTCTGGTCCAGAAGGACCAGAACAAGAACTTCCATGTGTTTTTTTTTTTATACAATTTTTATGTTTTAAATTATGAAAGCATGCTTTCTTCATTAATAAAAAAGGTGAAAGCGTACTAACATGTGTATTTAACATTCTATAAGTTAGTCCCCAATGTGAAGTAGATTATAAACTAGTCCTTCTATTTTAAGGAAATGAAACAATTAATTATTTTTATTTCAAAAACTAATTATTTAATTTATTAATCAGTATCAAGTTTAATTTAATATTTTTTTATTTTATAAAATAACATCTTTTTTCATAATTTTTTTTACATTTTGTACTTATTTTTTTCTTTTTCTATTTCTTAAAAGAAAAAAAAAACCAAAATAAATAAATAAAATGATTAAGTTACTATGAACTTTTAAAAATATAAAGACTAAATAATTAGTTTTTGAATCGAAAGATACCGATTAATTCGTTCCATAACCGAAGGGATTAGTTTATAATTTACTTATAATTTACTTCCAAATATGCAACTAGTTTATCGAAAAAAAAAAAACACGTGTGTCTTGATCCGTTGACATATGACGGATGTTCAAACTAATATTACCGTGATATGAAGTGCAAGATAAGCCAATCCATTTGAAATGGAACCATCCGATTTCTTCCTTAACACGTATGCAAATTTTGATATAGTCCGATAAAAATCTATTAACGCCGCAAACATGCACAAATTACACTAATAATTTTGTGCTTGTGACTTGCAATTAAAATCTACTTGTACTTAAATATTTCATTCGAATTGAATTCTCAAGACGGATATCACGGATGTTTAAATGAAATGGTGGTAATTATAAAGTGCAATTTTATCAAATCCGACCATAATTTTTGGCAAAAATAAGGATATAAATTTGGTATTTTATTGCTTGAAACTCGAAACAATCCAAACCCAAAATTACTTCAATTATTTTGTTGGTTGGGTTAGTCCATAATTAATCCCTAAGCTAACTAACTTTTCACATTTAATCAACTTGTCTTTGTGTATAAAATGGAAAAAGAAAAGGAAATTAGGAAAAAAGAAGTAAAGTTGAATACGAAATACTTTTTTTTCCTCTCCTTGTTCTCTTAAATTTGTCACTCTTCTTGTAATGCGAAGCATTGTTGTAAGATCATTATTGAGATATTCGAATATGTTACGATATAGACAATCATCAGTTAGATTTTCTTATTTCACTAGTTTTGACTAATAAAATGCGATAATATCATGGATTTAGTGTTTTTCTAAGGAGAATTCAATGATAACTTTGTATTTGAGAGGTATCTACAAACTAAAAAAACCCTTAAAAAATTACTAATTTACTCAAACATCGAATTTATAAGTAATGATGCGCATGTATATATATAAGTAATGTAAAATACAATGAAATAAAGATTGATAGAACAAACGATGAAAAAAAATTGCAGAATTTCACTTGATTCCTTACTATGTCATGTCAAAGGATTGTTCTACAACTTCTTACAAACCTTAGGATCGATATGGAAAGATGGTCAAATGTTAAGAACAAAGGTGGAATGTAACCAAGGCCATAGGGACTGAAAGATAGTTTTCCATCTTGCTAATACTTATGACACAATCAGAAGTTGGCACGTCGTTAATTATATCTACTCCACACACGCCAAGTGTCAAGAAGCTTTACGATTCCTTCACGTGAGGTAATCTCCCGCTACTCCGCCAAACACAACCAATCTCCGCCATCGTTTCCGCCGTCATAATCCCTGATGAACTCAAATTGTTTAAAACCCCGCAATTTACATTCTCCACTGCCTGATATAGCGGTGATGCAGGTTTAATGAATGATGGAGGCGGAGCTAAACGAAAACATGTTCAGGAGCACGCGAAGGACGAAGACTGTATAAACAATAGGGCCTCGCAGGTGTGGATTAGACGAGCTGGGGGTGCTGGCTACTGGAGGCATGAATGCGGCATGCGTGCGTGGCATCATGAGGTGATTGATCGTGTGAAGAGAGGCATTGTCGTTGCTATCTTAGGGGTTGTTCTCCAATTTTCTACTCCTTTTTCAGTTTTCGTTCTCCATTGGAAAATCAGAAAACATGTTCATTTCTCATAGTTTAATAATTTTTTTTTTCAAATTAGAAAATGGGAAACCATGTTCAAATCAATTGTTTTCTATCTTCAACTGCAGGAACTAAATTGACATGATTAAAACTATAAGGATTAAACTGTAAACCTGTCATCTTCAACCTCCATCTATTTCTCTCACCTTATGTTGCTGGATAAACTTGTTTCATGTTGGACTCATTTTGTAATATAACCTAATCTTCATTTTTATAACGATTTCATCAATTTCTCGGACAATGAAATCAATAAAACATAATTCATATTTATATCTCTAAAACCCTATATATTTCATGCCAATACATTTTTATCAAATTGGTCATTAGATTTTTTTGTTAGTTTGTTAAAAATAACAGTTATTTTAATAATGAGGTAGAAAAGCGGGTGTTCTCTAACCCAAAGTAGAGAAATTTTACTTGTGAACAAACATTTCTTTTTTCAATGTTCCTTTTTCTGTTTTCCTGAAAAATGGAGAAATACTCCAATTCTGAACAGCACCTTTCGTTTTGGAGGTATAGGTTTCTGGTTGGAGAATCTAATATGGATGCTTCCTACCTTATCTTCCAAGGTTTGTGCCTTAATTTTCAATTAATGGTGTTACAACTTTGTACGAGATTCTCAATTGTAGCCTGATGTGGAATCATAAAAAAAAGTAACTCAAATTATTTTGCATTACATCTCTCGAACTTTTGGAAATTCTTTTATCATTCAAATATTTCTTCTTTTTGCAATAATTTATTCAAGAGTTTTATTGCAGTATCTTTTGTAGTCTGCCGAATTGATTATGCATTTAAATTTTTTTGATATAAGAATAGTTCTTGCACAAAAAATGACCTCGCTAATAAGAAATGAAGTTAGCAGGTTTGCGTGCACGCTAGCTGCACTCTACACTTTTTTTCACCACATGCATTTTCAAAATTAGTTGAATATATATAAAATGCTAAAGCACTAGCAAGCCTAGCGTGCGATAGTCGTCTTACAAAAGGTACTGAAAACATTGCTTTAGGAATGGATTTGTAATGCTGGAAACTTGGATTGAAGATATTGTTGATCCTTCCACGAATATTTTGCAGATGTAGCTCAGATCTCAACTTTGCGATGTGTTAAAGTTGCTAATGCAGAAGAAATTACATTATGGAGGTGAAATAATGAAATTTTCTGACATTAAACTGGAATGTATGACACATCTGATACTTTTCACACGCACATGAATTCATTTTTAGAATCTTTATGTTTACAGGATTTTTCAAAGTACTACTTCATATTAGTGTTAATGCAAAATGGTAAATCCTATAGCAACTAGAGTTGAAGTTTCTGATGTCTCTGAACCAGTTGGACAGCGGGCAAATGGATTAGTGCTTTCTGATGAACAGCCATGGGTCAATTTCCTGAGAAGGCATTAGCTGTGATAAGAAGTGTCGGTTTTGAGAATTGAGAGGTGGTAGAGGGAGGAGAAACGCCATGACACCATGGAACTTCTAGTTGTCTCAGTTATTGGTATTTCAGAGCATATATGCAGGCACCTGCCAAATTGGGTATGAAGGGGTATTTTCCCAGGAGTCTGTCATGAGAAGGCATTAACCTTAGTTATCCCATCTTCAGTCGTGTTTCTACAACTCATTATTGATCTCATTGATGCTTCATAGATACAAAGGGAAAAAATTCAACAGTTTAGCACGACTATCGCAGAAAAACAAGTCCATGACCAACACGAGTCCATGCAGAAAGAAAAGATTCCAGGTAGTTCTCTTCATCTACGAGCCTCTTCAAATTTAATTGACAATAATAATACAGCCATTCAAGAAAAATACATTATGGTGTACCATGTAGTTGGTGACAAAATTTTATGATACTCTAGATCTAGGATTGACTGCTTCTATGCTAGATGGACGATTGCTCCATTGAAAAGTTGGATTGCTATAGGGTAAAATTATTATAATAAAAACTAAAACCATGTAAGTTTTTACTAAATGGATAAAAATGGTAATGTGTTGAGGTATTTTGGTTTAAAACTATTTGATTGACTGTTTTATGTCTCGAGTTGGATAAAAACAAAATTATTTTAATTTGATAGTTAACGTCTTCTTGCAAGTTTATAAAACCATGTTGAATCAAAAATTTTAAAAAAAAATAATAAAATTTTTAATTTTTAATCAAAATCTTATATTCAATTAAATTTTCTTTGTGTTTTTCATAATTTTTCAAAAAAAAAAAACATGAATCATATTTTAAAGGCATTGATTTTTAAATAAAAACTTTTAATAATCTAAAATAGAAATTCAATCTAAAATTCAAAAACATGCTATAAACATATATTTTTCATTAGATTGTATCAAAAATATTTTTTATTTAATACCGATGAGAAGATTATTTTTTAAAAATATGTACATTTGATTTATATATATTTATTCACAAAATAGTCAATAATGTTAGCACAACAAATTGTATTCGAATCATTATGTGGTATTTTCAAAAATTATTTAATTATTTTATTTGAAAAAAATAGTTTTATAGTATTGAAAAAACAATATCAAACAATTAGTGTTATATGTGTGATGTATAGTTAATTTTTAATAAAATTGATGGTTAGATTTTTTTTCATACATCATGATTATACTTAGTGGGTTAAGAGTGTGATGCATAGATACAAAAATATAAAATATAAATAAAGAATCAAATATAAATTATATAAAATACACTTTTAACTTTTAGATAAGTGGTTTAATAACATATTTTGCCCCTATTCTATTACACTTTGACAATTTTAGACTCATAGTACAAAATTACGTAATTTGAACCCCTTAAGTACTAAAAATTAGGATAAATATGATCTAAATTGTATAATTCTCATTATGTGTAATGGTCAATTAATTGACCGTTACTTTGAATGCCAAAACAATATCGCTTTTGTATTTCGCTATTAATTATATTTTTAAAAAATATTTTTAATCCTTCAAATCTTAAACTCTTTTTTTAACTTTTTTCTTATAAAGTATCATAAATATTTTATAAATTATATATATAATATATAATTAATCCCCTAATTTTATTTTTTATAAAATGTTATTATAAAAATACATAATTAACAATTCTCGATTTCGGACCTCGAAGAAAACGTTTTATAAATTAAAACGAGCATAATTAAGGGTTGAACCCCCTAATTTTATAAATCATAAAAAAAAGCATTAATTAACAGCGGAATATCAAAAGAAAGTCGTTTTGATATTTAAGTAATGGTTGCGATTGATCGTTACACATAATGGAGATTGAATAATTTGGATCACACTCGGCCGATCTTCAATACTACGAGGTTCAAATTACACAATTTAATACCATGAGCCCCAAATGGCCAAATCGCGATAGAGTAAGAGCAAAATTTTTCATTAAACCTTAGATTAACTATATGTTTATAATCATGCCACCATCACTTAAAAATTTTAAGAATCGTGACATAAATTATATTAATTTATTTTTCAAAAAATTAACAAAAGTTATGTTTTAAACTTTTATTCTAAATTCTATATGTGGAGTAAAATAAATCATATTTATCAGCAAATCAAATTTTATCAAAACTATAAAATTCATAGGACTAATAATTTTCATAAAAAATGACAAATTGAAAAGCTAAAATTTAAAAAATAAGAGTAATATAATCTGAACTATATGTTCATTTGAAAATATAAAAATATATTTTATATATTTCATCCTCCTCATGTTATCTTGTGGGGGGGGGGGGGGGGGGTGAGGGGTTTAATGTTCAATTTTTCATAAATTTTGCCTAAAAATCTTCAACAAAAATAAATTATTGAAAAAAAAAACCTAAGGCAGAGTCCCTGCGTTTTCACTTGGTTCAAGGCCTACACGCTTGGCCTGGTTCATGCGCATGTAGGCCACAGTTTTTTTTTTAAAAAAAAAGCAAATCATGGACGACACGTCGTTCGCTACCTATACAATAGATGGTGTTTCATTTGTCTGCAACTTTCGACCAATCGAAGTTGGTCAGAAAACTCACTGAAAAAACAAGTTTTTGCAATTTTTTGGCCTCTGAAATCCAAATTTAGTATTATTTTTGCATAAAACACCTCAAAAATAAAGAAATAAGGTCCATAAACCCATTTGAAGCATCAATTTCCATTTTACTTCATTCAAAATTCATTAAATTCTAAATTAAAATAAAAAAATCTCAATTTTTTTGGAACTTTGATGTACGTCTTCTAACTATTTCAAGGTTTATGACCATTATAAATAGATTTTACTATTCAAGACAAACAAAGTGAAAGTAATTCGATAGTTAAGGTGGCCAAAATAGACATCACCATCCCCCCCGTCCCCTCCCTTCACCTAGTAGAAAGTGACCAAACTGTAATGAAAATAAAGTTTCGGGACGAAACTATTTTCTTAAAGGGACCAAGATGTATTTTTTGGCAAAACAATGTAAATGCAGAGGAGCGAAGACAGAAGGACGCCCGGGGATTAGTAAGAGGCAACAGTGGATGGCTAGGGGAAAAAAAAATACTGTAGTGTCTGTAGTGACATTGGGTCACAATGAACAGTTGGAGGAATAGTAAATCCCCTCACTCCTTTTAGTTTATTTAGTTAATGATATTTTTTCAATAAAAAAAAGTGAATTTTTTTAAAATATAAGTTCATTTTGGTTCTTGATGTTTAATTTTTCACAAATATGAATTTTTTTTTTTTGGTTAGTTTGTATGTAAGGTTCCTAAATTTTGTTATGATAAAATAGAGTTCTTTAAAGTAGAGAGAATGAACGTTTTTATGTTTCCAGGATTGTGTCACAGTAAACAGTGAGAGAATAGTAAATTCACTTTTTTTAGTTTGTTTTGTTAATGACGTTTTGTTTTTAATGAAAAAAGTGATTTTTTAAAATGTGAGTTCATTTTAATTCCTGATGTTTGATTTTTCACAAATATGAATTTATTTTTGTCCTTGGTTTGTATGTAAGGTTTCCTAAACTTTACTGTGATAAAATCGAGTTCTTGAAAGTAGAGAGAATAAGTTTTGTTTTTTGTGTGTTTCTAGAATTGATTAAAATATGTTTTGAGGCTCAAAATGGTTTTTAAATAATATTGGGATGATTTTAAGGTGTTTAAAGGTAAAAATGGTATAGAATTTAAGTTTGAGTTTTCAAACGACAGTTGATTGCATAAAGTTACAGAGAATACAATGCACCAACCCTAATGAAAGTCGTGTTTTTTTTTTAATTTTTTTAAAGTGCTTGGGCTGAGTGCCCCAGCCCATATGCAAGGGCCGAGAGCCTGCCCCGACCCAACTTTCTTTAAAAAAAAAAAATCTTTTTCTTTTTTATGATTTTTATTATTATTATTTGTTCAAAATAAATTTTTTTCTCAATGATTAATGGTTTTTTTTGTGTTTTTTTATATATTTATTAACAAAAAATAAACACATTTTCAATATACATCGATTTAGCATCCTTTCAACGCAAGTATTCGTCTTCTCATTATTAAATCTTCTAACTTAATTTTTGCATGTTTTTTTAATGTTTTTATCAAAATAAAGTATATTCATTATATATATTTAAACTGAAATATAAAATACATCCATGATATTAAATACTACATGATACATATTAAATTTAAAAAAGACCCCACAATTTAATATAGATTCATTGTAACTAGATTCTTAAAATTGATTACAATATTACAAATAGATTTTGTAAATAAATTTTATAAACTTGTCACGAGAACTATACTAGTTTCATCTAAAAAGAAGGGATGCGATGAGACCAAGTCCCAGATCCATTAATTTAATTTCCTATCCTATTCATTAAAAGACACCTTGCCTACATTTGTTAAGAAATTACTCTATAAACTTATACGCAATACTTATCCGATTTCCTGGCTCCTTTAACATCAGCTAAAAATAATTGGTTAAAAATGTTTCGTTACAGTTGTTGTCATTTTTTTATAAGTTGCTTTAATTCTTAAAATTATTAATTTTTATAAGTTGGTACTTTATTTATTAGTTTTTTGATCCTCGAATTTTTTATAAGAACATTGTGGTCCTTGCTGTATAAAATTTGTGCATTCAGCTCCATTCATGTAAAAAAAATCTAAAATTTTTTAGTAGGTATTAATTAGATACAAAATAGATATCCACTAGTTTTTATTCGATGCTACGTCGCGGTCGGATAAAACATATAAAATTATTTTAGTTTGATGATACGTATCATATTATGGATCTATTAAAACATATCAAATTAAAAGTAAAATCAAAACTGTTTTTTTTTTAAATTATGTTTAACTGATTATTCATTATGTTTTTTATAATTTTTTTGCTAAAAAAATATGATTTATTCTTTTATATCTAGATTCTTAACTATAAACTTATGAGAAAATTCAAAAATCTATGGATTCTTAACTAA